AAGGGCAGAATATTAGAAATGGAGGGCAGATGAATGGATCTCAGGGGTTAGGGAAAAGGAAATGCTGAAAGATGGGAGGAAGATGAATGTGGTTATAAAATGTTAGTCAGAGGGGGTCTTGTGATGGCGAACTCTTCAGTGTCTGGACAAGATAGTATACAAAGAAACTTTCATGTTTGATATAATTATGTAGGAATAAACAGACATACACTGGGGCTAAGGTTGTTGCTTAATGGTAGAGCACGTCCTCAACACATGTGAGACACTGTTCCATCCCAGTACCACAAACATGCACAGCACAAGCATGATTGGAAAGCTGAACAATACTGGTGGATAGTAATGCTAATATTCTGGTAGTGATATTTTATTATAGTTGAACCCAACACTACCATGGAAGGAAGCTGGGTAAAATGTACACAAGATTTCTCTATATTACTTCTCCCACCTTCATGTGAGTATATGATTTTCTCTATAAAAAATTCAATGAAATTTCTCTCAGTGATACAGCAAAAAAAATTCAGTGAATACAAGCTCCTAAATTTAAATATTTTTTCATCTTATTTGATATTTAGAGCAGTATTAACATCTAATTTATCAGTTGTCTAAGAAGTTTATTTTTGGTAAAGAACTGGATATATTCTATTTCTTGACGTACATCTGGTTCTAAGATATACAATACAGTTATATTTTTCCTTGATGAAATGGAGCTGCTGGCAATATTTTTAGAATGTGTGTGCAGAGGGGAAGGATGTTCGGCTCTTTTTGACTTAATGCTGTTACCAAGTTTTTTGAAGTATTTACATGGGTCTTTATTTAATTAAGCCTGAGAACCACTATTTAGTTGCAGATGGTATAGAACAATCTAGCATAGCTTTTAACCTTTCCCCTTTTAACTTTGCTTATAAGTTTTACGCATGTTTCTTTAAAAAGATGCTGTATGTCTTTAATCAGTCTATAAACTTTGATATAAGAACCATTTCACTCTGCATACATTTAAAACTTCAATAGTAAGGAAAATGGATTCTTAGCCTAATAAGACTTTTTTTGACCTACAGGATCAAAATAATTTATAATTTACCCTTATGATGAACATTTGTTATTTTAAGTTTTCTGCAAATTTGAATGAGAGGTATGTATGTGTACATGTGTGACTTTGAAAATTGCTTTTTATTGTTATGGATCTTCCCCCAACACCTCCTTCTTGAATATTATTTCTTATTTACTTATTTTAATTGAGATATAAAAATTATACATATATATGGAGCACCATGTGGTATTTTGATACATATGTATGAAAATTCTTGGGATCTTACAATAATATTACTATATGTCCTTCCTTAGTAGGGAATTTTTCAAGACAGTGTTAGTATGATTTGATGATTTCTTGTAAAAACAAAAGCTCTTAAGGTTTAAGAAGCCAGCAGTCTTTTGTCCATCTTACTATGTACATATCGGGTACAGAACTCTGCATGAGCTGAACTGTTAGCCTCCTGGTCATTGTGGTGTTTACTTAGAAAAATTGTCATTCAACACTTCATTCTGATAGGTAGCCAGTGACTTTCCATTCTCTGATTTTTTTAGCCAACTACTGAGGATGATTTGACACCTCTGTAAGAACAAATTTATTTGAATACAATGAATTTTATTAGTACTGTGGTCTAATTTTGAAGATTCCTATTTGTGAGAGAAGAAATATAATGTGGAGTTTACAAGCATGGATGAATTATATGATCTGGGTTCAGGTCAAACTATTTCCATTTATCTGATGTGATCATGAGCAATCTCATTAACTCCTCTGTGCCTTACATTAGCTATGTAAAGATATTCTCTGCCCTACCTCATGGAGTAGTTATATGCACTGTGGGAGTATGTATACAGAGATGGTGATGGGAACAGATAGAAAGCATTATATATATATTGGTCATTGTTACTATTGAATTAAAATACATGAGATACACATAGAAGCTAATTTATTTTTGAGAGCAATACTACTATAATCACCGCTTTCTTGAAAAAGAAATTCACTGGAATATGGAAAATTACTGCATATTTTAACTCAGCTACTTGTTTTTCTATTGAGGAGCAAAATCGTGGGTTAATATAATTGTAACATTAAAGAATTCAGAACTACTTTTTCATGTTTTTCCACTAAAGTGATCAAGATATTTTAATGTGTCTTTTTTTTAAGTCAGTGGTTAGTAATAGTGCCCATTGATGTGATAATGAAATTGGCCATTACACAACATTTAGGGTGTGTTGCTTTAACTTCAAGGTTATTAAGCCTGGAATCTTCAAACAACTATATTGTGACATTTTCTAAACCTACTGACCCCAGGCCCATCATGTGACCTAAATGTTGACTAAAGAGAATCTTTGTATTTTTTAATTATATATTGAATAACTATAGTTAAACCAAGCATAAAACAACAGGTCCTTTTATCTTCAAAGTTATATTAACTCGGGGATTATCTTAGTGTTACTTTCTTTAGGATCATTATATAAATCTTCTCTATAAAAAAAATTAAGAAAAATTGTCACACCAAGGCTAATATTTCATATGAAATTCTGGAAGATTCATAAAGTCTTGGATATTGATGTTTAAAAATTGTCAAATTTTTGAAATGATTGATCAACTTTTATAAGACTTTTTAAAAAAAGCTGCCCCCTGCCCAAGAGTTTTCAGAAATTGCACAAGGTAAGTAGTTTGGTGCCAATTTTCAACTCTTTTATTTATGTGAAATCAAGTTGAAATGAATACTAAATATAACCACAGAATAGGAAAATACTAAAAAAAAAATTCAGCTCCACTTATTTGACCTTGAATAAGTAACTATAATTTTACATTTTATGAACTAGTATTTGTATCATATGAATTATATGTGAGATACTTGTGTAAAGAAAGCCAGTATCCTCCCATCAGTAATCTGCATGACTACCTAAATGATCTATGTTGTTGAGGAAAGTGGGAGAAGGTACAAAAACAACTGTCCTTAAAAAACAACTTGCTGTACCTAACCTTCTGAATACAACCTATGAAATGATGGACTCATGGAGCATATGTGAAAGTAGCTGTGAATGATAGATAGCATTCACTATGGGGACTCATAATTTGGGAATAGTCTTCAAAGCTTTCGGTGAATATGCGAAGTGTGAGCTGCCTCATAAAACCACTGCAGCCATTTCTTAGGGAAGCAATGAAGCAAAATAGTTACATGCAAAATTCAAGGGGTCATGCTATCTGGGTTCTAATCACCTCTGCAGTTTACCAGCTATATTCTTTGTGCAGAGCCCAGTTTCTCATTGTCCTTGTGTTCTTTTCTCAAATATGACAATAAAAGTGGGGGCTGGGGATTTAGCTCAGCGGCAAAAGCGCCTGCCTGGCAAGCGCAAGGTCGTGAGTTCGGTTCCCGGTACCGGAGAAAAACCAAAAAAAAAACAAAAACAAAGACAATAAAAGTAACTACCTTAGGAGGATTAAATGAAGTTTTGTACCTAGAACAATGCCCAGTACTTAGTAATCACTCAATACATGCTCTTTATTTTTATTTTTGGTAATTTAGTAATAAATTCTTCATATCAAATTTAAAAAGAAAAAACCTTTCTATTTAGACCCCCACTTTGGAAGGATACATATTCAAAACATGTTGCAGTATCTGTTGCTCTTTGGTTCCTGTTTTTTTACATTTCTTATATTATTTACAAGTATGGAATTTGAAATAGTTTTTAATCCACACATTTTTTAGACGTGATCATTTTGTACCATGCAGAATGTCTATTAGTAAAATAACTTCGTAAACACTCAATTTGCTTCATTATGTTTCTCATAAGTATATGTTAGAAGACTAAAATTATAAACAGGAAACAGATGCTGTGTATCCTTAACATATAGCTTCAAAGTAATTTCACGAGAAGAACAGATTTTCTAAACTAAACACAGTCACAAATATTTAGCTCCCCAGAACTACTGTCATGGCAAGATACATGATATAGGAAGTCCAGAAGGAAGGCCAAACTCACATTCTAATGCCACTCTAGGGTTTACATCCATGCTAAGAGCTAGCTAGTGAAAATAAAATGCAGTATTGGTTGGTTTGTACTGTACATTTACTTGAGCATTTGAATACTTAAAGTAAAATATTCAATGTAATTAAAATTTTTATTAGATTCAATGAAGGAGCAATTCAAATTACAGTTTATAAAATGCCAATTTGAAACTTGTAGCAACCATGCTAACAGTTTGTGAACATCTGTACCTCGTCACAGCCACCACCTCCATCTCCAACACTCACACCTATAGAGTATCATAATGGGGAAGAGTTTAGCCATCAAGATTAGCACCGCATGCTATCAACTCATCCACTTGCTGGCAGGGTAACTTTGATTTTGGAGGAATTTATGTGCTCCTTTGTGTCTCAGTTTCATTATCTGTAGAGGAAATTATACGATCACCAACTTCATAGAGTTTATGTGAGGATTAAAGTTGCATACATACAGACGCAGATACTAGAAGCACACCTGAAGAGTCTCCACAATCCCCACCTGCCTTCTTTATAGTCTAGTTTTCTTTTGCCTTCCTTCACTACACATAAGGTGAGAAGAAGTGAAATTTTCAGTAACACCCTCACTGGCGTAGATTAGGCAAGATAATTAAGAAACTGAATTTATTTTTATACCACCCCAGATATTTTTCTGCATTTTTCTCTTTTCCAGCCCTTTGTACTGTACTTTCAGGCAATATTTTAAAGATAATGCCCTTAAACTGCTTATACAATTCTAACACATTCTTATGTTTACCCTATCTCAAAGTGGTAGAATAATGACTTCTTACCACTTTGTGCCGTCCTATTTTTCACATCAGTTCCAAAGTCCTCTTTTTGAGGGAATGTGAACTCCCACAGCCTACAAAAGATACTGAAGTGTGACTACCTCCCAGTAGTGCCACCCTGTATGCCAGGCCTTCAGTCATGGACCTCTGGGGGTCACTTACCCAAAGAATAGTAGCACAATAAACTGATGATAGTTACAAGAAATCAAAACACATCCATTTCATTTTGCCTTCTTTTTGGATGGTTTACTTCATCAGGGCATGTTTTTAATTTTAGGAAAGCTTAAATGAGGATTGATAATGAATAGAGTGTTCTTCAAAGAGTCCTTAGGATGGAGAAATAAATAGAAAAAAAAGATATGCCATAAACAGGAATGTAATACCCTTAATGAATGGAAACATTATATGTCATAAATTATTATGACATTATATGTCATAATAATATTAATAAGAATTAAAAAGGGGAATTAGAAGATGAGGAAGGGGGGAGGGAAGGGAAAGGAAAGGGGATTGAAAAAAAGAATTAAGCTGTATTACTTACCTGTACCCAGTCTCCAAGATGTTTGTAATTGCATGTACAGCAAATGTACCAATTTTAAAACAATAACATAAAACAATATAAAATAAAACTCCTGCGTTTGTAACACTCTTGAAATAGACATGTGACTTGGTCACAGCTGCAGCATTCCTGGGTCAGAAGACAGCCAGAAAGGAAGGCAAAAAAGGTGCTAGGAGGCTGTCCAGGAGATCATGTAGCAAGAACCACACAGATGCTTTTCATGGCCTTCACTGGGGCATCCAGACCTAAGAAATGCCCAGAGTACTCTTTGAAGAGTACTTGGAACTGAAGAAATGCCCAAGTACTCTTTGAAGAATACTTGGAACTGGAGCTCAGATTAATAGCTGTCTTAGAGAGAAGTACTTGGGCTGTAATTTTTAAATAACCAACTTTAAGCAGCTATTGTTGCAATGTTACCTTCTGAAAAAACAACTTTAGTCAATTCTCAATCAATGCGTTAATTGACGGCTTATTGTCAGTGCAGAAAAATTAAACTGGAGCTCTTGGGTAATGACTGCCAATGTCAAGAAAGTATAATAAAATATAACAGAGGGTTAGTGATAGCAGCACCAAGGAAAACAAGGTTTTCCTCTCTAAGATGAACTTCAACAGCACGTAATGTTCCTTTGGCACTTTTTATAATTTCCCTATTTCTTTTTCTGTCTCTATCTCTACATAAATGATTAATAATAATAATTTAAACAAATTGTGTGGTAAGTTTAAAGTAACTTATTTGAAAACATAAAATAAATTGATCAAAATATTTGTACTTATAATCTTAAATGAGTTCAAATTTTAATTTTGCTGAATTTTTATTTAAGGAAAAATATGCAGAAAAGGTAGATGGCCTTAAACTACCTGATGTTTAGGAGATCATGTGCCTGTGGCTTTGTCTGGAGAGTGCTAGGTCTGTGTAATTCATAACACTCCTTTTGTTTTCAAGATTCTTGTGCTTAAATTGGCAAGACACACTCATATCCTACCTAGTATAGGTAACTTGCCTGTTAAATGCTGTTCTAACCTAAAAAATTCTAGAATGTTTCAGGTTGCAGCTATAAGCCACAACGGATTGTATCAATTGTGTCTATTCGAGCAGGTGTCAGTTCTGGCTGGCCATCCTTACTGGTTTGCTTTAGGAAATAGTCTTGCAAATATTTTGCAGTCTGTACTCTTTAAAAGTAAAAGAAATATATTATTCCATTCTAATATATTTTATTGAAATAGTCTAAAATGCAAACCTCTTTTTTTCTTAATAGATTTCATTCTTGTTAAGATTTTAGACTGCACAGTAGTCTGTTTCTTTTTTTTTTTTTTTTGGTTTTTCTCTGGTACCGGGAACCGAACTCATGACCTTGCGCTTGCCAGGCAGGCGCTTTGCCGCTGAGCTAAATCCCCAGCCCCCACTGCACAGTAGTCTGGATTTGAGTTATTTCACTAGAAAGGAAGGTATTTTAGATGCTAAATCTGTGTTAGACTATTTTATCCCCAAGCCAACTCTGGAGTGACAAATATATAGCAACTCTGAAAGTGTTCTAGGAAGTAGCACAACATCTGCCTTTCAGTAGGTGCCTAATGAATAGGTGCTAAATGAATGAATGCATAGTCATAAGTGGATTTTTTAACCTTTTAAAAAGTTGACAATGATAATAATAAATTTCTCACATTGCGAAATCTCTGGGATGTGGTAGGGAATTCAACATGGCTGAGTAAAAGTGGAGACACACTGGAGCTTCTTAGAGAAAATTGACTAAAAACACAACTAATTGGAAGAAAGGGAGGGACATACATCCTGATACCAAAATTAATCTGAAATAAGATACTTGTAGATCAAACAAAATATAGGCATAGGTCTTTATTAAATGATAAATGAGCCCATAGGGCTGCCCATGATTTTATTACTGGGGGGTGTGGAGCAGGAAACAGCCATTCCCAGTATACTCCCCCCAAAAATGGAGAGACTGCAAATGTGTGGCAAACTCAATCCACACAGGGTAGACATAGAATATAAAGACCCTTGCCTCTTTTGATTTCCTGCAGAGGACACTGCAGCCAGCCATGCAACAAGTTTCTCTGGAGTATACAGGGGTGAGTGATTGCTCCTTTCCCAATGGGTCACCAAGGGGCTGGGGATATAGCTCAGTGGCATAAGCGCTTGCCTGGCAAGTGCAAGGTTCTGAGTTCAGTTCCTGGTACAACAACAAAAAAACCCAAACAAACCAATGGGTTACCAGTTTATTTTGCTTTTTGTTTTGTTTACTGTTTCTTCTTCCTCTTCTTTTGATTTTTTCTTCTATGCTGAGCAGTATAACCAAGCACCATAACAGTTAACTGGCACCTCTGGTGACAAGGTTGGGGACTGGCCATGGCACTGAGGATTCTAGAAACAACACAACCCCTCCTGGCCTATGACCAAAGCAAGAGAGGGATTTGGACCAAGGAAGTGGATGTGATGTGCAGCAGTTAGGACAAGGAGTTTGAAATTAGCACTGAGTAGGAAATTAGTACTTCCCCACCCTGCAGCCAGTGACCAGCAGCACAGATACCCTTGGGTCAGGAAGTGAGCACTTTCTCCATCCTATGATCAGAAATGCAAGTAAGCTTGGGCTGCAGGGATAAGGAGTAGAAAACTAAAATCTGCTACCCTGTGACCAATAGCAAAAGCACCCATGGGCTGGGAAGTGAAGACTCCCTCCAACATGAGAATCCCAGCACAAACAAGGAGGTGAGGGCATGAATGGAGAAAGTGGTGTGGAACAGATCTGGTTGTGCGAGGTCTAGGGAGGGGTGAACTCTACACAAGACTATAAGCAGCCTTGGGCTGTTTCTGTTTGAAAGTTCTACAGCCACTATAAGAGTGAGACAGAGACAAACAGGGTAAGGAGACATGGGTGAGCCATCTAGAAAGCTGGCTAAAGACTGGCCACAGAACCCACATCTGGAGGCCAAGATGAGCCCCTCACCCAATCCAGCACTACTGCTACTGCAGGCTTGGTGGGGCTCTGATTTGGACACTACTACAGAACAGTGGACATCAGAGGAATTTTACCTAATTTTTTTTATTGACTGTGTCTATCATTTTCCTTTTTTTCTTTTTTAGGTTTGCACATATATTTTTGTCCTACTCAATTCATCTTCTTTCTCTCTTTCCTCAACTTTTGAGGATTCTTTTGATCTTATTTATCTTCATATGGGTGAACATTGTCCCTAGGTTTTGATTCACTTCAATAATCTTTTGCTTTCTCCTTCATTCTATCTCTTCTGCCCTCTTCTTCAGTTTCCCAAAACTTGCGTGATCATCCTTTGTCCTCCAGCCTTGCTTCAACTGCATTTCTGTGGTGGATTAATTAATAGTGAACTTGTAACTGCCAACTACAATGAATCAGCATGGTTCTGGTTGTGGAAGACCCACCTGAAGATTGTTGCCAACAGCATAATAGGAGAACTGGAGGGGAAGATGGCATGCTGTTGATTCTCCTGGAGAAGCTTGTCATGCTGGTTTTTCTGATGTGAACTCAGTTGTTCTCATCATTGCAAGAGCTCAAGTCCTCACTGTCACTGAGAGTAGCTGCAGTTCTTTTTGGAGGAGCTCTGGTCCTTACCTTGAATGTCACACCCTGGCTGAAGTTCAGATCTCCCAGCCTGATGGCACAGATCCTTCATTCCACTGGCACAGACTTTCTGGCTTCCACCACTGACCTTTGGACCTTTCCAGTGCAGATGCTTGATAGAGACTTATGACACACAGTCATGGGCTCTAGGCCTTCAGTTGGATGAATGTAAGATATTACTGTGAGATCCAGGGTCTCAGCTGGATTCTTATTGTGTCTAGTGCATTAATGGATCTCTTGCACCCTTGTACAATTGATATTTTGGGTGAATATTATAAAACAATCCTATGAATTATGTGTCTTGTATTAAAACTATCCCCTTGCCAATTTCTCTTCATTTATCTCTCTGTTTTGCCCACTATATCTCTTGTATGTCCCCACCAAAGGATAAAATCATTCTGTTAGGGGGAAACTCATTGCATGCAAGTTCCTGATTTATGTTGGGTTTTGTTATCAACTGTAGATCTTGCCCTTATGGTTTATGGTACTGTGTCAAGAATTAGCACATTATGTCAGTTTCTAGGCTGTGCTTGATGCTATTGTTATTGCTCATTGTTCTACTTTAACCAGGGTGTTGTACTTATTGTAATCAATTGTTCTCCCTTCTATAACAACACTGTGAATATCTAGGGTCATAATCATCACCATAGTTGAGTACCAAATGGTTGGCAACTCAACCAAATATAGAGCAACATTTCATCCTTAATAAACTGGGAAGGTAGAATCTTGGGACAGATGCAAAAACTAAGAACCTACACACAGAAGGCAACTCTGAAAAACAGACATTTCTTAGGGAGGCACCAATACTAGTGACAAAACTACCCACTGTAAGAAATTTACAGGCATTAGCACAGAAAAAAAATTGAAAATGACAAAGCACAGAATCAAAACCCAACCCCAGAACTCCAGTCCTCCTAGAACAAGTCCAAGGGACATTGAGGTAGAGGAACATGGAGGACACCCACCTGAAATGTCTGACATGAGAGGAGCAGAAGTTCAAAATCAGGTGCATAATACTATAGAAGAAATCGGATAAAAAATATTCTCCCACTTAAAAATATATGATAACAATAATAAAGGACTTACTCAACAAGTCTGGAGTACACATAGATTTAAAAAATAGAGGTACATAGGAAAATAATGGAAACCATGAATGCCCAATATAGGAAAGAAGTGGAATCCAGGCAACAGATTCAAACATATATCCAGGATATTAAAAATCCCACTGAAAGTTTGCAAAACCATATTAGTGAAAGTGAAGACAGAATTTTAGATCTAGAAGAGAGGATTGCACCTAATGGTCATGAAAAGAAAGATCTCTTAAAAATAACAATGGACCACTAAAAAACAATCAAACAGCTGCAAGATGACTCAGTGAAGAATAAGATAAGATTGCTTAGAGTTAGTGAAAGAGCAGGAGCCAGAACAAATGATGTAAAAAAACCTATTCACAGAAATAATTACAGAAAACTTCCCAAGTATGGAAAAAGAATTTGTCATACACTAACTTTGCATATAGAACTCCAATTAGCCATGACCAAATTAAATGTACACCAAGGCATACAATAATCAATTTAGTAGATTTGCTGGATACAAAGACAACATTGAAAAGTCAATAGCATTCCTGTGTGCAAATAACAAACACGAGATAGAAAGTAGGAAAACATGACCCTTCACAATAGCATAAAAAATGAAATATTTAGGAATCAATCTAATGAAGTAAAAGATCTCTACATAGAAAACTATAATACACTGAAAAGGGAGAT